TGCGCCAGGCCTGGCTGTGCCGACCCCTGAAGGAGAGGAGGGAGGAAGGGGGAGAGGGGCCTTGCAGGCTGAGGCTGGGTCGCCCCCAGAGCCATGCCCGCTGCCCTGGGCCCGTGACCTCGCCGGCAGGACTCCCCGCTGAGGCACCTGCGCCCACTAACCTCGGGGCCACCGGGCCGCGCCGCCGCTCACAGCTGGCTCCCGCCCGCCTACCTGGCCCAGATCCCAGCCCCCGCCCCACCGCAGGCTAGGCCGCTAAAGAAAGAGCGTTCAGATCTCCAGAGGGCTTCTCTAGCGGCAAAATGGCGACTCCGTGCACAAGACCAGCATCCACTGAGAGGGCGAGGCCAGGGCCTGCGCGGGACTGAGTGGGATGTGCAGGCCCAAGGGGAGGGACAGTCCGTTGCGCAGCCTGCGCAGGTTGGGCCAGGTGGAGTGTAATCTTCGCTTGAGGCCAGTGGTGGAGCTCAGCGGCTTGGGAGGCGGGGCAAGGGGCGTGGCCATAAGGTTGGGACCCAATAGGTATGTAGTCCTCCTGTGGCGGGCAGGGGGGGGATGAGGAAGGGGGCGTGGCTTTGGGGGTTGGGTCAGGCTGAAGCAAGGTGTGGTTGCAGGTCTCTGATGAGGCTTGTGGGAGACTCTGAGCTCCAGGCCTGCTATGACAGGAAGCAGAGCAGTGGACTGAGTCTGAGGCTTGGAATTTATGGATGTCTGGACTCAGACATCTTCCCTGGCTTGACCTTAGGCACAGTGCTTCTGTTCTGGGAGCCTCAATTTTCACTATTGTTATTTTCCTATCATTTCACTTTGAAATATTGAGGGTTTATTTCCATTAAAAAAACAAACCTTATGAATGGCAATACTCATCTCTTGGCACTGCTGTGAAGATCCAATGAAGAGATCTTCCCATGGTTCCTAGCATATAGCAAGTGCTCAGATACAATTGTTATTTGTGTTGTTGCCCTTCTTTTATTACACAGAAATGAGTGCTTTCGGTATCCATCATCTGATTTTTTTATATCTTAAAAGTATCTTTTCATGGGGGCTGGGGATTTAGCTCAGCGGCATAAGCGCCTGCCTTGCAAGTAGGGAGTTGTGAGTTCGTTCCTTGGTACCGATAAAAAAAGTATCTTTATATGTTAATATAACATATTAATATGTAACACTTATAGGTGTCAGGCCAGGGCCCCTTTGAGACGCTTTACATATGTTAATTCTTACAAGAGTGTGAGTTAGGAATTATCTTCATTTTCATAGGTGTGTGAGCCTAGACACCAAATTAAATACCTTTTCCAATAACAAAGCAGTGGACAGAATTTTAACCCAATGGGGCCAACACCAACATCTCTGTTAACTAAACCATAATTAGCACAGCACCTCTGCAGTTCTGCTTTGGATTTTTCACATGAGTGAGGCATGAAATTGTGCATGGGAGGTTGCACAGGTAGCTAGTGGTACTTTGTGTCAGGGTTCACTAGAGGATCAGATTTAATTTGTGTGTGTGACAGATAAGGATTTACAAAGCAGGCTTAGGAAGGCCATCTGCAGAGTTAGGTGGAGAAGAACGCAAAAGTGCCAGGTGCTCATTTGAGATGCAAAAGCTCAACACATAAGTCTAAGGCCTGGAGCTCACAGCAGAGACCTGGGAGAGTCTCTGGCAGGAAGCAGAAGCCTCTGTGCTAGGAGCCTGGAAATGACACCTAAGTTGATGGCAAGGATTCAAACTCTTCTGAAGAGGCAGAAGCCAGACTTTCTCCTCTCCCCTTTTACTGCCTCCAGGATGCACTATTGGTTGCCCACTACACACAGGGAATGTCTTCCATCTTCAATGAGTTAGTAATCTACACACAAACACAAAACTGTGATAAAATAATCACCTAGGTGTTCTTTGCTTGTTGCCTGTTAGTTTTTTGAGACAGGATTTTCTTTGGAGTTCAGGCTAGCCTTGAACTCACTGTGTTGCTCAAGCTAGTCTCAAACTCAGATTTTCCACCCTCAGCCTGCCAAGTGCTGAGTTTACAGGTATGCACCACCACACCCAGTTCCTCCTTCGTTTGAATGCACTTATTCCATCATTCTTGCCATTTTCTTCTGAATCAATTCTGGAAGTCCTCTTATAAGGATCTTTGGTTTTGCTGTTGTGGCTGCCTCAAGGTCTTGAATCAGTTCAAACTATTCACCTTTCAACGATCATTTTGATTTTGGAGAAGAGTCAGAAGTCACAAGGGTTCAGATCTGGTGAATGAGGTGGAAGAAGACACACCATAATGTATTTATGAACTGTTCTTCCCATTGGATGGCACTTAGCAGCAGTACTCACTATATTTTTATCTCAATTTGTAAAGACACTCACAAAAGAGGACTTCCAAACTGCTCCAAAAATTGCAAGAACAAATGGAGAAATGTGTTTGAAGCAAGGAGGTGTATTTTATTTAATTTATTTTCACAATGTGTTTCTTAAGGAGGATTAATGAGTATGTATCTCTTATTGTAGTAAATTTAAAGAATTTGAATGTTAGCTGTATATTTTCATCAGCCCTTGTACTTCTTCCTTGAGGTTATTAAGTAAACATCTGCATATTCAGTGTCATTTATACAAAATGATTGGGAAAAGAAGTGTTTTGAATTTCTGATTTTTTATTTATTGGAGAACTTGCATAGACATAATAAGTTGTCTTTATGATGGGACAGAAGTCTAAATATGAAATTCATACTCCAAGCCTGAAGATAATTTTATACAATATTTGTATTAATTTTGTGGTTAACATGTGTATTGTGTTGTTTCTCTGGTGTGGGAAACTGAAAATGTAGATAAGGACTAAAATAAAATAGATATTTGAACATTTTCTAATGACATAGGAATTATGGATGGAGGAGGGAGAAAGGAAGAAGGGAAATGAAAAAAATGATGAGGAAAGAAGGAAACAAGCCTTCCATAAATAAGGAGGGGAAGGGAGTTGAAGGAAAGGTAGGGGAATGGAGAAAAAAGATTCATATCATGTATGGTACAAATTTCCCACGATTAACATGATCATTATTTACATCTAAAATGTACCAATAATCTTAATTAAATAACATTTTGTGTTTGAAATAAAATTTCTTTTTGTGGAATTTCTCAATTTGGCACTAGATCAGTACTCAAAAGTTTTGGATTTTGAAGCATTTCAGACTTCAGATTTCAGATTAGGAATTTCCAGCCTATACTTGGATAGTGATTTGATAAATATCCCCCTACCTCAGTAGACCATAAGCTTCATGCTGAGAGTATGAGAGCAGTCTCTTTGCCTCACTGGTGTCATAGTTTATGTCAGTGCCCCTCCCAAGCATCATGCAATAATGAATGTGGCCAAATCCAGTATTTCTGCTTGGTTCATGGTCTAGCACTCAGATTGGTGGTGTGAGTGCTACACCTGCCCAGACATGGAGCCAGCGTACAGTGTACCAGAGGGAAGAAGGTGTGTGTCTCTCTTTTGCTGTTCATGCTTGCTGTTTGCAGCCATGATTAACTGCTTCCCCTCAACCATGTCACTTTGCCTTGGAGCCAACTGAGTATGGACTGAAACCTCTGACCTGTAAGAAATAAACCTTTCCTTCTTGCATGTTGGGTGTCAGGTATTTTGTCTCAACAACCAATGAAAAGTAACTCACACAACTGGTAATCAGTGTTTCTCAATACCCAACTCAATGCCTGACACAAGAATGGTGCGCTCTTGTTGACAGAAAGAAAACCAGCAGTAGCACACAATTATAGATTTGTATCACACAGAATTTCACTGCTTCCAAGGCTCTGCAGTGAAATGAGGTCTCATCAGTTTTCCTCTCTGTAGGCACTAAGCTTGTCATTTCTTTTGCTTTATTATAGCAAATAATGCTCCTCTGTCCATGTTCCATTCCCCCTATGGTCTTAAAAATCAATTGTAAGCTGTTATACAATCTCATGCTGGGCATGGAAGTCAGGACCTCCTGCATGCTAGGCAAGTGCTCTACCCTCAAGATACGTTCCATTCCTCCCTTTCTTATTGCTGGACATTAGGCCATGGGAATGTACTGTAGGTTAGCCCCAAGCTGACTGAAGTTATTTGACAGGACACTGTAACTACCCAACTGAGCCTAGTAAAACCAGAAAATTGAGTGCCAATTATAAAATTTCTCAGTAAGGCACTGAGTTGGGGAATGCTTTGTTATACAACAATGGCTAATGAGCAAGATAGGAGCAAGAGAGGCACTATTCACAATAACCAAGGCAAGCAATCAGTCTAGGTATGTGTCAGCAAGAGAATGGGGAAAGCAAACATGGCATGCACATGTGCACACATGCACACACACACACACACACACACACACACCCTGTTCAACCATAAAAAAGAATGAAATCCAGTCATATGCAGAAAAATTCAGGGAAGTGGAGGATATCATGTTAAACAAAATAATTCAGACAGACAAATATTGCATGTTTTCTCTCATATGTGAAAACTAAAAAATAAAGTAGAAGAGGGGCTATACAGGCCTGGTAGGAGAGTTAGAAGAGAGCAAGAAGATAGGAGAGGAGTTGACAAACTTGACCAATACACTGTATATGTATATATGAAAATATCATAATGAATCCCCTTACTCTATAAAACTAGTATGTGTCAATAATTATAATGTGTAAAAAGGAAAAGAAATGGATCAAAATTTAAAGCATGTGGGCATTTACATGCTAATACATATGCTGCATAATCCCTTGCTGTTGGGCGCAGGCGCTCAACATACCATACCCCACCCGGGACTAAGGACCATGCCAGCTTCCACAATGCGCTACGTCCCTCTTTAAATTAGCCAACCCGTGCGCACTTCATGCTCACTCCGTACTCTGTGGCAACTCCTGATTGGCCACAGCTGGATATGGTAGCCAGAGCCTGCGTCCCATTCCCACCCTGCTTCCCCGTGGCAGCCTGTGATTGGTCACGGCCAAATATATAAACCAGAGCCCACGTAAATAAACTAGCAGTTAACTGTCGTCCACAAAAGCGTCTCCTGTTTCATTGGAGCTGCGTCAGTCAACTGGTTGCCCATATGGGGAGCCCGGAGCGCTGAGACCCTCTCTCTGACAATACAAGGAGCGCTGCGATCCTCTCTCCGATGGAACAGAGCGTCAACAGGTAAAACCGTCAAGCGCCGATAGCGGGGGCTACTTGGCGGGCAGGGGCTGACAGGTTAAACTGCTCAACGTTGGTAGCGGGGGCTACGCAACAGGCAGCGGGGGCTGCGGGGCTGGATGGCGGGGGCTATCGGGCAACCTTGGGCGGATGCGTCGCAAGGGTCAGGAACTCATAAAGAGAGTTCCGGGGGCCGTAAAGAGGCTGGTTTTGGGGGCGCCGTTTGGGCGCGGGGACTAAGCTGTCCCTGTATTAAAAAAAAAAAAAAAAGGAAAAAGAAAAAAAATAAAAATAAAAAGAAACTCTTGAAATTCCAGTTAACATGGGTAACACGGCTACTCAGCCACTGTCAGTCGCCTTAAGCGACTTACTGAGAGAAAAGGGATTACAAACGAAATGAGAACAAATTCAAAACTTCCTCGATCAGGTCGATAAGGTAGCACCTTGGTTTGGTCCCACGGGGTCCATTACTATCCCCAGCTGGGATAAATTAGGGAGAGATCTTGACTTTGCAGCAGAAAATGGTCTCCTGGAGCCAGGAGTCAGACCCCTTTGGGCAGTGGTGAGAAGCTGCCTTGCAGACACCTCTTGTCATGACCATATAAGGGCTGGCGCCATGGCGCTTGATTACCATCAGGCAGAATCCTCCCACGAGCAATCTCGTGAGCCCAGTGCCACAGGCGAGGTGACCCCACCCAACCCAGAAACAAAGGACTCATCAGATAATGAGGGGGAGGAAGAAGAAGTATACAAAATGGTGGATGCAGACACCACCGAAAGAGGGGAAGTCACACACAGGCAGTCGAGAGGGCCTTACTCTGAGGCCACAAATGAGCTGCAACGCAGGATTTCTCAGAGTAAATGGGTCAATGAAGCGAGTACGGGATCCCAGGGCCGCCCCATATAAGACCTACGGCTCTACCTCCTGACCCGCCAGATTATCATGCCCACCAGAGACCCTGCCATCAGCTGTGTAGCTGTCCGCAACGGGTCCAGACGTCCCCTGGGACATTCCAGGAAGACCTTTGGCATCAAGTCAAAAGAGAGGACCCAGGAGGCCTGGGCTGTTTTCTCCAGGCTTTTCCGGTTGCTGTAGATGCTCAGGGAAACAGAGCCCACCCGCCTATAGATATGAAGGCGATAAAGCATCTTAAGGAGGCCAGCACCATGTACATTGTTAATGGGGCGTATACCCTGTCCCTAGTAGAAGCCATGGCAGAAAACGCCATGACACCTGCTGATTGGGCCAGTTTGTGCAAGGCAGTGCTCAGCCCAGGCCAATATCTTGATTGGAAAGCTTGGAATGTTGAACTTGCCACAGAACAGGCCCAAGCTAATGCCCAGAACAATCAGGCCACCTGGAACACGGATATGTTATTAGGACAAGGGCAGTATCTCAATAACCAGCTGATATTTCCACAAGAGGTGTATGCACAGATAAATAGAATAGCCATACAAGCATGGAAATGGGTCTCGGCTAGGGGAGAAGTCTCAGGCCACTTGACAAAAATTTTGCAGGGCCCGAGCGAGCCTTTTTCTGATTTTGTGGCCCACATGATGGAGGCAGCAGGGAGAGTTTTTGGAGACGCAGAGACAGCCATGCTGCTCATTAAGCAGCTCACAGCTGCTCTGGGTCAGCACCAGGTGTAGTTGGTTAACTTGGCAGGAGTCAGGGCTTGCCATTGTTGACGGCCCCTACCACGAGACAAAGCAGAAGCCGCATCCAAACTTATTCAAGAGCAATTAAAGTTAGGCCATATCAAACCCTCAAGTCTATTCTGTTTAAACAAAAGGAGGGTACTGCCCAGGGCATGACACCTAGGGCCAGACTAAATCTTGCCCTCTTCACTTACAATTTTGTAAACATCAACCCACAAGGATCCACGCCAGCACAGCTACATGCCAACCCTGTTGCACCCAAACATGGTTGGGTACGCTGGAAAGACCTCCTGCATGGGGTGTGGAGAGGTCCCAGCCCAGTACTTAGTTGGGCGAGAGGGGCGGTTTGTATCTTCCCACAGGAAGAAGGCAGTGAACCTGTCTGGGTCCTGGAATGCCTGATACGTCCCTGCAAACCACCAGACCCCGACCCAGAGGAAACGTTAACCACAGAACAGGGGAACCAACAGGAGCCTCACAAGCCAGACCTAGCAAGTATACCCACAACTCCCATTAACTATGGCACCTTGGCCAACTCCCCTGGTTAGTAGCCTCCTTTTCCCTTCCTTCTTGCATCTCATACAGTCCTTGCAGCCAATGACTTTTCTAAATTGCTCCACTGCAACCTGTTATATGTTACAGTGTTGGGATAACAGTACACTTTCAGCTGTTGTTATGCAGGTACTCCAGTTCGCACCGATTCCAGTAATGGCGGACTCAGACGAGTTTCCTGTGATCCAGCTCGGGCCAACTCTCCAATTGGCTTTCATAAAAGAATGGGCAGGAACAGGGGCTCTGGCTACCATGACTACACTTGCCGCATTCAGCAGTCTACTTCTGCTCTGTTGGATTCACAGACAAAGGAATAGGGACAAAGTATCAAACAAGCATTTCTGATCATGGAATCTGGTCAAAGCCTGGCAGCATGGCTCACCATGCTGTGATGCAGGTGTGGAGCAAAGCATCGCAGGGGGTGTCATCCTTGGCCAGGTGACACCCCGGTCCCCATGTTGGTGAGCATGCGGGTTGGGCTCATAAAACAATACTCCCGCCCCCTCCAAAAGAGCACCAACGAGTAGTGAGGCACTGTCATGACTGCAGCGTGACACCTCACGAGGGGCACCGACCTCTGGAGACCCTGCGTCAGTTATAAAGAAAGGGGGAGATGTTGGTCGCAGGCGCTCAACATACCATACCCCATCCGGGACTAAGGACCACGCCAGCTTCCACAATGCGCTACGTCCCTCTTTAAATTAGCCAACCCCTGCGAACTTCGTGCTCACTCCGTACTCTGTGGCAACTCCTGATTGGCCACAGCTGGATATGGTAGCCAGAGCCTGCGTCCCATTCCCACCCTGCTTCCCTGTGGCAGCCTGTGATTGGTCACTGCCAAATATATAAACCAGAGCCCGCGTAAATAAACTAGCAGTTAACTGTCGTCCACAAAAGCCTCTCCTGTTTCACTGGAGCTGCGCCGGTCACCTTGCTAATCCCATGCTCCTGGGGGGGGGGGTTGCAGATAATAGGAGTTCAGTGATTGCTGGGAAAACATCATTGGCCATATTCAAGGCTCAGACACTTGCATGTGGAACATGAATCAAGAGACCCAAGGCTAAGAAGCTAAATGATAGAACGTCCCCTGCCACAAGCCATGTATAATTGCAAAAAGATCCCCTGCCTTCATAGGGTAGGGAGGTAGCTGCCAGACACCAGGAACAGGTTCTGCATGCTGACTCTCCTATTGTAGAAATGACCTTGTAGAGATCTGGTCACTTTTCCACACTTAGTTTTCTCACTTACAAATGATCACTTATGTTAGCAGCAGTATAGAGACTGGAGGTGAGAAATAGCATTTCCGTGGTGTTCATGAGTTAGAGGTGGCCAGAGGAAACTCTTTTGCAGCATCTTCTTCAGCCTTGCATCTTTGACCATCAAGGATGAAGAACAAGGCTCTTGTTTCCCTAAGGAAAAAAAGAGGACAATGGGTGGTCCTGCAGTAGGAGTCAGCAGAGGCCTAAATCAGGTCACCATGCTGGGGAGCTTTGAAGTTTCATCATTGAATCCTCTAATTTTTCTTTTTCTGTTTGTCTCTCAATCATGGCCTAGTATAGCACAATGTCCCTGGGGTGATCAGAAGTTAATCTAGTTTAAGTTAATCTGTTATCCATATCTGGGTCAAATGGGACCAGCAATCCTAGTTTTTTGAGGAATCTCCACACTGATTTCCACAGGGATGCACCAGTCTGTGCCCCCACCAGCAGGGAGAAGCTTCCTTTTTGCCCACAACACCTCTAGCATTTCTTATTGGTTGATTTCTTGACATAAACATTCTTTTCAGGGTGAGGTGGAATCTCAGTGTTCTTTTAATTTTTCACCTATATTTATTTCATATTTCTCACTCTCAGTTCATTTTTGGCTTCTGTGTTCATATCTGCATTGTCCAATTTTATCAAGTGCCTTGCTAAGGCAGTTGGCCACAAGCCTCCATCCCTGATGTCTAATCACCCTTAACATCCGATTGGCTCCTCATCCTCCACCATCACGCAGCTCACACCTGTTCAGCCTGGCTTGCCCTCTGCAAGCATCCCATTAGGCTGTAAGGAAACAGCTCCCTTCCATGTGCTGCTCACTCTTAGCAATGTCAGCTCCCTGACCTGACCCTGGCCTGCAGCTGTGCATCCCTAATTTTCCTAGGTGCATGTGGAGTTCTCTGTCCTCCACTGGTGAACCCCTCACAGTGGCACCTGCCTCTCTCAGGATGGTCCCCATTTTGTGAGAACATTCTTGACAACACAAACAGGGCCCAAAGTGGTGGCACAGAAGACTGTGGCAACTTCCTGAATGAACAAAGTCAAGAAAAGCCCTCGGTGTAGCTGCCTACTGCTTCCATGGTTGGTTGTTCTGTCCCACCCCAGGACAATTTTTGTCGAGATCAGGAGTATCTCAGGTACAAAGTTAAGACTGCATATGTTTAGAGCATACAAAAATAACAAGTGCTTTCTGTCACATAGTGTACATCTAAAGGTGAAACAGCAGTAAAATATTTCAACATCTCTTTAAAGTTGGTCATGGTGCTTAAAGTTTGATCTACATCTACTGGAATTTATTAAATAAGCATTTTGTTATTGCATAAATAAGATATAATTGTATTGGTTAATAAATAAATATATATATATGTACATATAGTCGTTAATGCTCTATCCTAAATTTATTAGATTTCTGCAGATGTCTGTTAAAAAAATCCAAGTTTCGCCTAAAGTGCAAAATCTAAGCAAATGTATACAAAGTTTTTATATGGCATTGAAATTAATTACTGCTAACCTCACGGTATATCAGATATATTTCTTTTATCAAGCATGTAGGGTTTTATATGATATAGCATGTGAGAAAGACATCTTATCGTATTGATGAGTCTAAACTACAGTGGTAGGTGAGATCTGGGGTACATAGGAGAGACGGCAATCAGAGGAAGGTGATTAGGTTGATGACTTTGTCCCACTCCATTTGTGTGCACATGCGGGCTCGGGTCAGAGAGATGCTGTTTGCACAAGGTCCCTAAAGTGATGTTTGCACAGTGACAGGGCTTGGTTGGTTGGCTGGCTTTGTCTTCTGCAAAAAGTATTAACCAACATCCCTCTCACTCAGCCCAACTGCACCAGGAGCCCTCTCTAGTCCGGCATTGTAGTTCACAGAATGGCCAGGAGGTGGCAGCGGAGCAGCGAGTCAACTTTGACAAGTTTTATAGGAAGGCAGCAAGGAAAGTGCAGCTTTGGTAACAAGGAATAATAAAGGAAAATGTTGAATTCAATGAATTTTCATAAATGAAATGAACATTCACCTTTTATGCTCTTTTCTGGCTGCTTCTCCTCTGCTCCCCCAAGAAATATCCTATCCAGAGATTAGTTTGTCCTGTTTTTGTCAGTTATATATATGCATGTTCATTGATATCCATATATGTACTCTTTTTTTTTTTTTTTGTCTTTTTCATTTTTATCGGTACCGGGGATCAAACTCATGACCGACTGCTTGCAAGTCAGGTGCTTATGTCGCTGAGCTAAACCCCAGCCCCTTATATCCATATATGTACTCTTACAGTTTGTGTTTTTTGAGGGTCTGACATTTTCATTTATCTTTATGTTTGCGAGATTTACACACTGACTCTTTCACAAATCCATTACATTATGACCTGCTTCATGTAGTTGTAGATGTCTTTCTTCTCATGGCTCTGTGTTTCTCACCTTCATTTGTTCCTTCTCCTGGCTGGTCTCTTCTACTCACAGTTTGATTGCCATCTTGAAATGTATAGTGAGACTGTGTCTCAAAAACACAAAAAACCATTAAGTCAAAGAAAACAGTGGGGATTGCATTTGTTACTGAGAATCATCTCATGCTTTTGGGCCACTTTTTCAGCTTTGAATTATATTAAATCTGATACATGACACAGAGCAACAGATGACTTGAGTATTGCATGTGTTGCTCTGAAACGAATGCCGTATGAGCCAACCTTTGACAAACCATCAGTGTGCATGCAACAGCCAAGATAACATTAATTGTGGGAAAGCATACCAAATGCAAACCTTCACTTTTCAATAAAAGGTTGTATCGTTGAAAGCTTTGTGATTGTGTTTTTCTCTCAAGCAAAATATGTCAATGGATGAGCAGTTTTTTCTAAACTAAAACTTCAGTATTCAGATCTAGTTGCAGTGTAGGCAGTGCAATAAATAAATAAGTGGGTTTTGGCTTGCAGTATGGGCCCTTGATCTCGAAAAGGTTTCCCCTAACTGATCCAGGAGGCTTGAGGGGTGAGGATTTCATGCCCAGCTCTCCTGTCTGGCCTCTGGCACTTGCTGGGGTCCCACACATGGACAGGGAATTCAACCAGGGTCTGGTTCCTACAGCTCACCCAAGGCAGACCCCAGCCTGAACATCAGTTTCCTGGGAAATGTAAGAGTCAGCAACTAATTTTGGGAAAAAGCCAATCAGAGCTTCTGCTGCCCTTGTAGCAGAGGCAACAGCTGATTCATCTAGCTCTTTCTGCTAAAAAACAGAAAGTGGAGTGTGCACACACTCAACCTGCAAAGGCCAGCTTTGTGGGGTATCTGGGCTTCACTGGGGAGTGGGGAGCTGCAAGGCTACTGCTTTCCATGGTGCAGAAGGGGACAGTCCCTAAAGAGTTCACATCACTGCAGAACTGACCCTAACTTGGGTCTGGGTCCAGTCCCTCTTTGTTCAGACTGCCCCATGTGCCACACAAATCCATCAGGTGTAGTGTAGTCTGAGGCTCCCCAGACCAAGAATCAGTGTCAGCAGTTTGATTAGATTCTGTGACTGCTCCCTGGTCCAGAGAGTCTCAGTGAGAAACCCAAAGCATGTGTGCTGCTGGTGGGGTTGTAAAATGGACTGGCTGCTGTCAGGAACAACATAGCTGTCCTCTCCAAATTCTATGATTCAACAATTCTAAATATGCTTATACAGCTTAACATAAATCAGGAGCTCAAGCAGATATTCGCATTCCCACTATCCCTATGAGCCAAAACATGGAAACAACCCCCAAAGGGTGGATGAACAAAAGGTGGTATGTAAGTATCCTGCAATTCTATATTAAGTGAAATAAAACAGAGAGAAAAGGAAAGTGTTATATGATTCCAAATATGTGATGGCCCAGAAGAGTCCAATTCTTGGAGACAAACGGTAGAATGGTGATTCCAGGAGTTGAAGGAAGAGAAATGATGCTATTGTTGGGAGAGTGCACAGTTTCAGTTCGAAAGTAGGGTTTTGGAGCAGGATGGTTCTTATAACTGCACAAGTTAAATGTTCTTAACTCACTGAACTGGTCACTGACAAAAGTAGTGGATTTTGTGTTGTGCATATTTTAACATATTTTAGATAGTAGATAGGACCTGATAAATTGGACAGAAGAGATGAGTGGATTCAGGGACAGTTTTGTGACACCCTGTTCACTTTTTGAGGAGTAATACTCTCCTGGGTCCTGATCACAGCACACATCCCATATATCACTCAAAAGACAGAACCAACAGTTAAAACTTCTTGTCTCCTGATCATGCACATCTGATTCTTCACCTACACTCAGTAACATGTCTCTGATTGCTTCATTCTAAGCAGAGGGAGCAGAAGAAGCATTTGGGAAAGGTCTCCATGACCAGTGCTGTCCTCAGTGGGCTCCCATTCTACAGGTCTGTGGTGAGGGTAGGGAGACTCCTCATTTGCTCTTCTTTCTTTATTAAGGCAAAATTCAATCTAAAATTCAGCATCTATCGTGGAACACACAGACCAGTGACATTTCATGCACTAAGGGCTGTGAGACCCTCACCATGCCTGGTAAAGAATACCTTCACCACCCCCAGTGGTAACCCAGGTTCATTAAACTGTCATTCTCCATTCCCCACACTCAGCCATGGACTACTATTGTGCT